CATGACTAAAAACACAGAGAAAACATGTCTTTCCCATCATTTATTCAACAAAAATATCAAATGATGTGATGGTGCACTGTAGTACACATTTCCTCTTTAGAAGCGGCCAATGCCTCCTTTGCCCCTTTAGGTATTTTGCATAAAAACACATCAATAGCAAAAGCAACACCAGACTCTAGATATCTGAGGTTTAATTCAATCAGGTTCCACCTTCATACTCCCCCTAAGGAGGTTCTTATCATTGACACCTAATCTGGAATGACAAATGCTCATTGCATGGATCAGAAGTGGTAGTAAATGTAGGGGGGTACTTATTTTTTCCATGTGACAAATCTACGTCTTCGTTCATGTAGATCATGAAGTGAATACACCATGTCAATTTTATCTGTAATTTGCTCAAGCAGATTGCCTTTATCTGTAGGCAGTGTTTGAATTATGATTTGAAATTTGCCTATTCAAATATGATGAAAAAGTCAACCATTTCCATAGGGTGTACTTACTTTTTACCATGACTGTATATGGGTCTGTTCCTTTAGGTTGGCGGTGGTCAACTTATTAGATAATGTTAGGCTCGAGTTTAGCCCCAGGTATCGCCAAAGGGATGCACGTTATATTCACTGTGAGCATGCATAAGAAGATGGTCAGAGACTGTGGATAGTCTACAATAAATAGAGACTGTGGACAAGCTAAGGAGATGATCAGACACTGTGGACAAGCTTGAGGAGATGATCAGACACTATGGACAAGCTACAGGAGATTATCAGACACTGTGGACAAGCTACAGAAGATCATCAGACACTGTGGCCATGCTCCTGGAGATGGTCAAAGACTGTGGATATTCTACATAAAATAGAGAGAGAGGACATGTTACAGGTGATGGCCAGAGACTGGAGACTTGCAATAGGAGATGATCAGATACTGTGGACAAGCTAGAGAAGATGATCAGACACCATGGATATGCTGCAGGAGATGATCAGACACCATGGATATGCTACAGGAGATGATCAGACACTGTGGACAACAGTATGCAACATATGCAACAGTATATGGATCTATTCCTCTATTCCGGTGGCCAACATATTAGATAAAATTGGTATCAAGTGCAGCCCCAGGTATCACAAATGAGCTGCATGTTATATTCACTGTGAGCATGCTAAAGGAGATGGTAAGAGACTTTTAATATCTTAAAAAAAAATAAAGACTGGGGAGATGATACAGGAAATGGCCAGAGACTGGAAAAATGCTATAGGAGATGATCCGACACTGTGGATAAACTAGAGAAGACGATCAGACACTGTTGACATGCTACGGTAGATGGTCAGGGATTGTGGAAATGCTACATATAAAGACGAGGGACATGCTCCAAGAGATGGCTAGAGACCGTGGATATGCTACAGGAGATGATCAGACACTGTGAACATGCTACAAGAGATAGTCAGAGATTGCAAATGGGCTACATATAGTAGGCAAAGACAGCATACTTGCTACAGAGCATAGTAAGAGACTGAGGATATGCTCCTGGAGATGGTCAGAGACTGTAAACATGCTATTAGAGAGGGTCAGACATTCAGGATATGTTATAAGATATGAGAGACGTAGGGACATGCTACAGCAGGTAGTCAGTGATTGGGAACATGCCACAAGACATGATCTGGAGTATGCGGTCCAGTTTTGGTCACCAGTACTCAGAAAATATGTCCTTGAGCTGGAAAAAGTCCATCAGAGGGCAACCAAACTCATTAAAGGGTTGGAGGATCACAGCTATGAAACAAGGCTGTTAAAATTAAATATGTTCTCCTTGGAAGTAAGGAGATTAAGGGGGGACATGATTTTCTTGTATAAAATGTTCAATGGTGAATGGTGAACATTATTGACAAACTCTTTACGGTTAACCCCATAACAAAGACCAGAGGCCACCACCAAAAATTGGTGGAGAAAAAATTTCAGCACACAGGGCGCAAGGGGTTCTTCTCAGTTAGAGCGGTTAAGGTCTGAAACTCACTGCCACAGGAAATGATCAGACACTGTGGACAATTCTCAGTGATGGAATCATTCAAGAAACTCTTGGACGATTTCCTTGGAGACCATAACATACAGTGGTACAGGTACTGCTAAGAGCAAAATCACACACGCACACACCTGCTCAAACATAAATGCATACACGCAATAGGTTGGACTTGATGTACTTATGTCTTTATTCAATCTCAAATACTATGTAACTATATGTAACTATGATCAGGGACTAAGAATATGCTACTGTAGATGGTCAAAGACTGGGGCCATGCTAAAAAGTATGGTCAGAGACTGTAGACATGCTATAGAAGATTGTCAGAGAATGGAGAAATGCTACAGGACATGATGAGAGAAGGGGGAATGCTGCAGAAGATCTTTGTTTACTGTGCCTTTCAGTTTTTTAAATTCACATAATGAGGCCCATCGAGGGGACAAGAACAGCTCTAGCATAGTTGGAAGGAAATTCCATAATCTCCATGAACCATTTAAAGACCATTACATCCTAAAGGTGCCCATACACCTTATGAATATCAGCCGATGTTCGTATGCAATTGCGTTGTCGTCCGATATTTGTACGGTTGATCCAGCAGGTTGGAAAACTTCGGACGATCGTACGATTTTCGCAAGGTTGGTGGCGTTTCCGTACGTCAAAATTTGTACGATTTACACTGCACATGTGCAGACGAAAATCTGTGCGGTCGATTACCGCTATTCGTCCAGGTGCTTTCTTCTAATTACTGCTGATCCAACCTTGCGATAATCGGGGCAGGATGGGGCCGCTGTACGAAAATCGTACAACATTTTCATCATCGGACTAAAAGTGTTGTCTGGTGATCGCAAGGTGTATGGGCAGCTTCAGACTCATTCCTATATCAATTCACACCAATGCATTTCACAAATGTCTCCCTTCACCAAGCGTCATGTGTCATGTTTAATGAAGAGAAGCAGAAAGCTGACATAATGGTTTATTGATTACATTACTTATTTCCCATCCTTTTGAAAAAGAAAGCAGTGAGGAAGCAGCAAACATTTCACCAAAAAAAAAATCAGATTTATAAATACTTTCCTTTGTGTTTAACTACCAAGACATTGAAAAAGGTACCGGAAGCATTTTTCGCTTTAAATGACATTTTGTAACAAGTAATACTTTTAATGCACTTAACATTCAGCTGTGACTCGAGCACGTGGCTCCACCTTCTCGGAGAACAATCCTGACTAAAGTCACTGGGAGATTAAATGATTTGCTAAAGGTCACATGAAACGTGTTCCTGAACTGTCTCCAATGTCACCATGACAAGTCACCTTTTACTGTAGAAGGCCGTTAAGAATATGACATTGTACGTGCCATGGTTCATTCTAGTTCATGGTTACCAAAACAGGGAACCTTTGAACACTAATAACTTGCTCCTATCACTTCATGAGCCGGGTGGAGCTTAGTTTTCAGGCTATACATAGATAATCTGCTCTCAGTGATCTCAGATATTATCTGACTAATTAAGCTTCAGTGATTCTAACCACAGCTGAATGAGTAGAAGAAGAAGCCGACAACTAGCTAATTATCTTCTTCTTCTACTACTACTTATTATTAGTATTATTATTATTATTTATATTATTCACTTTTCACAGGTGATTCTTAATCAGATTTAGTTGCACAAACAGATAATACAGTATCTTCCATTTATCCTTCAAAATTTTCTGAACTGCCAGATGTTCATGTTTTGTTCATGTTTTGTTTTGATCATCATGGAGTCTATGACTGCATTCTCAGTGATGTCACCGGTCTCTAGTGAATGGATAGGCTGCATTCTCAGTGATGTCACCGGTCTCTAGCGAACGGATAGGCTGCATTCTCATGGATGTCACCAATCTCTAGTGAATGGATAGGCTGCACTCTCAGCGATGTCACCGGTCTCTAGTGAATGGATAGGCTGCATTCTCAGTGATGTCACCGGTCTCTAGTGAATGGATAGGCTACATTCTCAGTGATGTCACCGGTCCCTAGTGAACGGATAGGCTGCATTCTCAGTGATGTCACCAGTCTCTAGTGAATAGATAGGTTGCATTCTCAGTGATGTCACTAGTCTCTAGTGAACAGATAAGCCACATTCTCAGTGATGTCACCGGTCTTTAGTGAAAGGATAGGCTGCAGTCTCAGTGATGTCACCAGTTTCTAGTTGATGGATAGGCTGCATTCTCACTGATGTCACCAGTCTCTAGTGAATAGATAGGCTGCATTCTCAGTGATGTCACTGGTCTCTAGTGAATGGATAAGCCACATTCTCAGTGATGTCACCGGTCTTTAGTGAACAGATAGGCTGCAGTCTCAGTGATGCCACCTGTCTCTAGTGGATGGATAGGCTGCATTCTCAGTGATGTCATCAGTCTCTAGTGAATCGATAGGCTGTATTCTCAGTGATGTCACCAGTTTCTAGTTGATGGATAGGCTGCATTCTCAGTGATGTCACCAATCTCTAGTGGATGGATAGGCTGCATTCTCAGTGATGTCATCAGTCTCTAGTGAATGGATAGGCTGCATTATCAGTGATGTCACCAATCTCTATTTGATGGATAGACTGCATTCTCAGTGATGTCACCAATCTCTGGTGAATGGATAGGCTGCATTCTCAGTGATGTCATAAGTCTCTAGTGAATGGATAGGCTGCATTATCAGTGATGTCATCAGTCTCTAGTGAATGGATAGGCTGCATTATCAGTGATGTCACCAATCTCTAGTGGATGGATAGACTGCATTCTCAGTGATGTCATCAGTCTCTAGTGAATGGATAGGCTGCATTATCAGTGATGTCACCAATCTCTATTTGATGGATAGACTGCATTCTCAGTGATGTCACCAATCTCTGGTGAATGGAAAGGTTGCATTGTGCAATTGTTGGATAAATGGTTTTATTTGTGTTGCCTCTAGTCTCTAGGTACAATTTGTATCTGTTTCATTTGTATCACTTACACTGCCCACATTTTTTTTGTAGGGGATGTTTTCAACCAAGTAACAACGTGAACAATTAGAACACGGACCATGGTCTCTGCAATTCTGGAAAACGCCCCTCATTAAAGCTAGGGTGAGTTGTTGCTATACACTGCTTCTCTCTTCTGCTATGTTTCTGGAATTTCCTTGTAAACGTTCTGAACTTTGTTACATTTGTTTCAAAATGATTGCTACTTACATTGTATTACTACACTAGCTGAGCGGCTGGTGACAGGCTGCACAAGCAACATTATGGCAAAATGATGTGGACATGAGGATCAGCATCCACTATATGAGGATGGCTGCTTTATATGATACTATACCTTTATACTGTATTTTCTTATACTGGGAAACTTGAATAAAAAATTATGTTGTTTGGTATCTATATTTGTAAAACGTAATATAAAATGTTGATGTCCACATTTAATCTATGGGCTCTACACAGAGCATCTGCCATTAACAGTAATGTGATTAAGCATGTATGTCTCTGCAAAGGTTAGGACTACCCTGGAAATATAATTTTCCCCAATATGACACATTTATGCAGATTAAATGAGTTATTCCATAATTTGTGGCACCTACGGTATTTACAAAATTACACTTCAAAGCTTGTCTGGTATAAATGAGTGTAAATCCTATAAAAATGTCAGCCAGTATTAATTGTGTATCTCCTGCAGCACAGAGTTCACTCTTTTTTGTCAAAGGAGGTCTGCCCGCTTTGCTCCATGGAGTAAATTATACACGTTAATTAATTTCCAAGAGGAGGGGAGGCTCCAGCTTATCATGGTAGGAAGGCAGAGGGATGGCAAGAACATTATCACTTAAAGCTGATCTCCAGGCAGATTAACATTACACACATTAGGACACCTCAGTATTTATTAACACATCATTAAATTAAGGTTACCAGATTATCAGAATGAAATCAGGGGATACGCTACTAACCACTATATGGACCAGAGAGCAGGACTCAGGAGTATGTAACATAGAGTGCAGGGGTTAGGAGTAGGTAACACGTGGAATAAAGAGGTCAGGAGCATGGAATGCATGGAGTACAAGGGTCGTGAGTAGATAATGCATGGAGTACAGGGGACATCAACAAATAACGCATGGAGTACAAGGGACATCAGTAGGTAACACATGGAGTACGGGGGTCAGAAGTAGTGGACAGAGCTTAGTAGTAAGTAACGCAGGGGTCAATAGTAAGTGACACGGAGATCAGGGGTCAGTAGTAAGTGAGTCATAGAGGCAGTCATCACAGCATGTACAAAACTGTCTGTATATGACTGCAGCTCACTGCCGCCAGGAACGTTTCTTCCCCAGAGACAGACCTCTAAAAATGGGGGCTAATTGTAACCATCCATTAAATGTGTTTTTTAATGCAAGGAGTGTAGATAACTAAATGCGACTTGGTAACATCCGTTTGCAATCCCTTGTACAGCTGTGCTCAGACTGAAAGAGATAGAAGCAGTACAAGGAGCAAATCAGTTGTTCTGCAGTGCTCATGTTCTAACAGGGGGCATGCTGATAAGAGGAGAAAGCAGAGGGGCCCATAGATGAGCTCATCAGTCGGATGCTTCTCCCTTCACTATCCAGTCACAGGATAGGGGAGGGATAAGGCCCATAAGTGTTACTAACAGCAGCAAAGAAAAATCAGATCTCCTGCCCTGCTCTGCTGCATGATAGAGCTGTATAAATCATAGAACTACATGGATAGGACTAAAAATCATCTGGCAGGTAAAAAAAAGTCTCCCATATATGTATTTAATCTGTATATTTCACTGCTTGCCTGGAGTTCAGATTTTAACAAGCTAAAAAAAATCCCATGGCACAATAATTTCAGACAATGCATAACCCTTTCTATAAGCATTAAAAGGTCATGTTTTATGGGGTTTCAATCTACGGACACATTTGTGTTTTCCAGTATCCTCGTACCTCTTTTACGGCTCTGTGTGTATCATATATTGTAAAGCATAATATCTTCAAACTCCTTGTGTGTTCTAACATACACCATACCCGTTGCTCAGTTGGACTTAAACTCAAAAATTAAAGATTTGCTGTGTTATAGGGAATATCTAGAAATGGTAATTGTGTCTAAGCAGTACCCTGAAAAAAATCTCCACCTTGTCTTAAATTCCTTCTAAAACATGGCAGTGCACATTCTGTTCCTAGTCACATCTTAAACGTCATTGCTCATAGTGAAAGGTAATCTAGGGCACTGCTGCCTCTGACTGATAGTCTCACCAGATTTGGTGTGAGATTTGGTGATATCACTACAGTGTTGCTCACTGTTTTCTATGCTTGAGTGGGAGTACACCTGAGGACCTGCAGTGCACGGATCTTCCTGCTTCTGCTTTAATTATTCTGTGGATCTGTGCTTCCCTCTCCTTCCCTGCTGCTTCATGATAATTTATCCATTACTCATCAGGGATGAGCCCTGACATGGGGAAGCAAAGGGATGTTCCTTTAACCAGATGGCCAACCCCACACAGAGTGTGAAACAAGGCACTGTGAGTCTGTAACAGGGAAAAGATCAGCTTCAGGGAGCCTACATGACATACTGATGACAAGTTATTTTCCATTACACAGCTATCCACTTAAATACCTGTCTGTCTCTTTTAAAGCCCTGACAACCCAAACAGATATTAGCAAATGTTACATAGTTACATAGTTAGTCAGGTTGAAAAAAGAAACATGTCCATCGAGTTCAACCTATTGATATGCAAATAAATCAATCCCATGTTCCCTGTTACTGAGATGTTTAAAAAAAAATAAGGGATCTGGAAAGTCTTAAAGGAATAGTAATAGGGCAGTCAATGTAACTTTCACCAAACATCCATTGGTACTAAATCTGTCACTGTAATTTAACATACATGCACATGAAAGTGTTACCTGCGGTGGATATTTGGTGAATGTTACTGTTTTATATTGTAACTAAGCCCAAGAACATATATGCAAAACATTGCAGTTTGCAATCCTAAGCTGTGGTGGTTACATTAGTTTTCTCCATAATATTTCCTCACAGGAGCACTCAAACTATAAAAGTATAGGCCTCACAACTGTGTTTCCCAAACTTTGCAAACTTTATTGCTCCAAGTTTGCCACATCTCCTTTGCTGTTGCCTTTCTTCTTCCATCAGGGCCTAGTCATAGACCCTATACATTTAGTAACAAAAAAATGGGTTTTCTTGGTACAGAAGTTTACAGTTACAGCTTTTGCTCCTGATAAAGTCTGATACTGCGACCCAACCATAACATACAAAGGTTCTCTATTATAATCAGTGAATTCCATTTGTTAAACTCTGAGGGCCTAGACTCAAAGCTGTATCCTTCCCTTACTTTCTTACCATCTGTTTAAAAAAAAAATAGAAATAATGTGAAAATAAGGATACAACACAGTAGGACCCGACTTATTTTCTCTACAAGAATTACGTTCTGTGCTCAATGCTCAAAAGAGAAAGAGACAGAAAAGTAAAAGGAACTGATAAAATTAGTGCAGGCACTGATCTTCATTGCTGTTTCCTCTGGTGAATGTCTCTTTTGCACAGTATGTTCTTTTTTTGTAACTAATAAAAAAAAAAGTTTTTCTGGGCTAATCCTTACAAAAGCAATGCAGGTTTCTCTCAAGAGATGACACACTCATCCAGATAATATAGAGGTTTGTACAGAACTCAAAGAATAAGGACTCCAGGTGCAGAAACTTCGCACATCGTGACCAGGACTTCAAATCAGACAGAAACTCACCATCACCACTGACCCTAAACTATACAAGAGTTCATCAAGTGCTTCTGATGTATTCTATTCCAATATCTGAGTGTTGTAAATCTCCAATGAATATCCGTCTAGAGGAATCCTGCAATTCTACAGGTAATTGATCACCTTGAAAGTAGGGCTTGATACAAGAAGAGGAGTTATTATGAAAAAAGTCTTGCATAGTGCAGATTGCTCAGTAATTTAATAGACTTGAAAATAAGAAAAGATGTAATGAAAGGAGGAAGATTTCCAGACTTGAGATCACATGGATCTTTAATTTACAGACTCTTAAACCGGATGGGCTGAACATAGACTTTGGTATCAATTGCTTTTGATAAAGCCCTGTTGGGTGAAATGTGTAGAGGAGAACTTTGCCAAGTCACAAGTAAGTGTAATGAGTTGATTGTTCTCCAGTTTATGGTTTATACTTTTTTATCAGTTTTTTTATTTTCAATAAAGTTTTTATAATGATTTATTTAAATAGACAATGAAAAATATCAGTGTCATTATTTAATTTACAGTACTGTAAGTAAGTGCTACCAGTGCTACTGTAAGTAAGTGCTACCAGTCAATGTAATTGGGCATTATATGGAGTAGGGGATTGTTCTAGGGATTATCTTTTTGGCCTGTCATTGTATACAAAGCATATAGAAGCAATCTACTGTATTATTCTAAGGATATTGTTTAGTAAGGTTCCATGTCCACATATATGGTTATGCAACTGGAGCCAACTGCAGAAAGCTGAAAAGTAGGTCAGAATAGGAGTATAAGAAGTAGAGGGATGCCCCGGTTTCCCAGATCGTCTCTTCTGTAATATCTTAGGTTGGTAATATATATTTTTTGCTCTTGTTTTGGGGTGCTATGGGGGGTTATCCTCATTAACCTATGTAGTAGATCCATGGGCATCAGATTCCCTGAAACTGTAATTCTTTATCATTAGATTATGTGCCCTGCCAGTCTTTTTTTATGAGGTAACCTGCCTTGGATGTTTACAACCATCAGATCCAGGAATTAAGAGCGTACTTCAAAATTCGGGGTCAGTGGAGGTGGTGAGCTACTGTGTAAATTTTAGCCATGTTCAAGTTGTATGAAGTTGTGTGAAGCTTACATATGTGAATTCCTTCTTATTTACAAAAATGTTATTATTTTACATACATTTTACTGGTTTACAT